ATGACACAATACTGGTTGCTAGTAGCATGACATTCTATAATGACACAATACTGGTTGCTAGTAGCATGACATTCTATAATGACAAAAGACTAGTTGCTAGTAGCATGACATGAGACAGGTTGCTGGTAGCATGACATTGTATAATGACATTCAACTGGTTGCTTGTAGCATGACATTCTATAATCACACGAGACTGGTTGCTAGTAGCATAACATTCTATAATGACAGAAAACTGGTTGCTAGTAGCATGACATTCTATAATGACACGAGACTGGCTGCTAGTAGCATGACATTCTATAATGACACGAGACTGGTTGCTAGTAGCATGACATGAGACTGGTTGCTGGTAGCATGACATTCGACTAGTTGCTTGTAGCATGACATTCTTTTATGATATTTGACTGGTTGCTAGAAGCATGACATTCGACTGGTTGCTTGTAGCATGACATGAGACTGGTTGCTGGTAGCATGACATTCTATAATGACATGAGTGGTTGCTACTAGAATATTTGAATGAGGTTGGAGTTCATGTAAGGACATTTTGTTTCCAATATATTATACACGAATGATTTCTAAATTAGAGGTCAAAGCTATTTCACTTCTCAATTGTTTGTTTGCTTTAAAGCACATTAGGCTTTCAGCTGTGTCCACCACAGGGAATTGAACCCCAGATTTTAGCATTCTAAGTCTGTAAACTTAACTCTGTCCCACTTCACAGCAGTTTGTTTAGATGTATACAAGAAATAACAAACAATTTATGGTCCAAACAAATTACTAAAATGTTATTTTTCATATCTAAATAAATATTTAAAACATTAATATACAAGCCTACAACTAAATACTTAGATTAATTTAGTGAGTTATTTTGCATTTAGTCCCCCCCCCAAAAAAATAAAATAAAAAAGGTAGCACAAGACTTAATCTTGTTTCAATTTTAATTGGTAGTTGTGAAGTATCGTAAATACTAAGTGAACCATCCTTCATATATGTTTTTATAAAATAATCTTGGTGTTTTTTTTCCGTACTGACAAAGTTGCATTTTATTTAGGAGTAATATTCATTATAAATGATCAAATTACTGTTTATATGTACTAAACTTCAAGATGCCAAACAAACTTTATATATAAAGATTAAAACTCTAGTAAACCATATTTTTAACCTTTATGCCTGACGAAATTTAGTAGTAAAGTTTATAAATGTTCACATTTTATTTAAGATGCTGTTTCAATAAGTACTGAACAGTTTTCTTATTAAGCAGTAGTGATTAACAATAAAAACCTCATGTAGCGCCTTACAGATGATATCTTTCTGTAGTTCCTTACAGATGATATCCTTCTGTAGTTCCTTACAGAGTAAACTACCTTGTGTAGTGCCTTACAGATATCCTTCTGTAGTTTCTTACAGAGTAAACTACCTTGTGTAGTGTGTTACAGATATCCTTCTGTAGTTTCTTACAGAGTAAACTACCTTGTGTAGTGTGTTACAGATGATATCCTTCTGTAGTTCCTTACAGAGTAAACTGCCTTGTGTAGTGTCTTACAGATGATATCCTTCTGTAGTTTCTTACAGAGTAAACTACCTTGTGTAGTGCCTTACAGATATCCTTCTGTAGTTTCTTACTAAGTAAACAGCTTTGTGTAGTGTGTTACAGATGATATCCTTCTATAGTTCCTTACAGAG